CAGAGCACAGAATCCTTTCAGCTTTAAAGTAGTTCGTAAAAGCTGAAGTAGCTCATAGTGTCCCTCCTGACATGGATTAGGTGGTCACCCTATGTGGAACAACCACTGTCGTTACCAGCTTTAATCATATCAGTGTAACAATGTTCATATTCAGAGACAAAGCTGCAGACCCCACAGTCCCTATAAGCCCAGAAAGGCTGGAGCACTACTCAACTGACACTTGAGTAGTTTCACTTCCTTTATCTATACATATACCAGCTTTCTGCATAAAGTCTGTATTGAATTAGTTTTAAAAGTATTCAAATAATAGCTCAGCTTAACACAGACCTAATACACATATCCATTGTTCAGTATTGTATGGCTCCGGAGCACATCCCAAAAATCCTGCATTACCAGCAAGATATACAAGACGGTATAATCACTCTGATTCTTTAGTTGAACTTAAATCATCTGCGCTGCTTTGCAACTGACTTCTCTGTAAACAACTTCAGTAATATCTTCATTAACTGGCCTTGGTGAGACCCTGGAATTTTCTGACTTAGTGCCTAAAAAACAAAATGAAAGGTAGCTAGCTAAAATATACCCCGACTGGAAATGTATAGATTATTTTAAAACATGTATGTGCATGTATAATGGTCTAATTCATATACAATGATATTTAACTATTCACTAAATTTAAAAATCACAAGCTTTAGACAAAAGGTAAAGGATATTTAATAAAATGGTATTAACATACTGTATACATTTACATTTACATTTACATCATTTGGCAGACGCCCTTAGCCAGAGCGACTTACATAAGTGCTTTAAGACTCCACAATGAATTTTTCCCGATACTAGCTCAATAAAACCAAGGCTATGAATACCATCGATCTAATACTCTGTTGGAAAAGTGCTTTTTTTTTTTTTTAGGAATGCCAGAAAGTATAATGCCAGACGTGCTAATTCAGGTATTTCTGGAAAAGGTGTGTTTTGAAATGCACTACTTACTTAAATGGTGTTTCTTGTACCATCTTAGAAAGCAGAATGAGATCCCAGCCACAGTCAGGCACAGCATCAAGACAGAGACGCCGGTCAGAGCTGTCAGACCCCAGGGAGTGGGAGTTTCTGTGGACAGACACAAAATCAAAGGTAATTTATCAGCTTTCAGCAATGTTTTCAGAAACTGTTATTGTTAATCATTTGTAAAATATTTTTAAAATATCCTGCGGCCCCTCCGAGAGCAGGAGAGGACCACGCAGGGGGCAAGGAGACAGGCTAAGGGACAGACGAAGGGGACAAGGAGGGAGTCGGGGGGGCACCAGGGGAGCCAACGAAGGAGCCTGAGGGTACACTGGCGAAGGCAAGGAGGAGGGGGAAGCCGCAGCAGGCGACAGAGCAGCCAGAGCCGGGGAAGGCGCCGTCCGGCGATGCTCCAGAGCGGGGGGACCCGCAGGAGACTGAGGGGCTGAAGCGGGGGAACCCGCAGGCGACCGCCGACCAGGAGGCGCAGGACCCGCAGGCGCCCCCCAAGCCCCAGCCAAGGCGACCAAGGGCGATCCAGGGGGCAGGGCGGGTGGGTCACGACCCCTGCGGAGGTGTCCCCTGCCCTTTCGGGACACCGAAAGGCAGGGTTCGGGCTGGGATCAACCCCGCCTGGACGAGGGCAGAGGCGACAGCAGGGAGGTCCCCACGGGGTCCCATTCAAGTTCCTGCTCCACCAAGAGGAAGGGAGCAACGGCTGAGAGGTCCGGGACCTCCTCGGGGACATGGACTGGGGTCACAGGGGTAGGAGTCACTGGTGGCACCGGAACCTCAAGTGCTGCAGGGGGCGAAGCAGAAGCCGGAGGCGGGGCCTCGGGCAAACCAGGTGGCACGGCCGGGGTTTCGGGCGTGGCGGCAGGCGGAGGAGGCACAGCAGCTACCTCTGGCATGGCGACAGGCGAAGGCGCAGCAGCTACCTCGGGCGTAGCTGCAGGCGGAGGCGGGGCTGCAGGCGGCGCCGGGACCTCGGGCGGTGCAGCCAGCGACTCGGGCGGTGCAGCAGCGAACGGCGACTCTCGGCCAACAGGGGGCGCCGCAGTAGCGATCGCCGACTCTCGGCCAGCAGGGGGTGTTGACGAGACAGGCGAGGTGAGCAGGACGAGCAAGGCAGACAGGACGGGCGAGACGGCAAGCGGTGCCTCGGGCGTAGCGGCTGCAGCAGGCGTAGCAGCGACAGCGGGCACCGCCAACTCATGGCCAGCAGGGGGCGCTGGCGAGTCAGGCGAGACGGACAGGACAGGTGGCGCCGGTGAGTCAAGCAGTAGGGCTGCGCTGGCGTCTGCCGGTGGGAGGTCGAGTTCCTCAGTCAGCGGGTCCAGGGACGGTGCCTCACGTGCCGGCATTGCCCCTTTCAGAGCCCGCGGGATAGCGTCCCATACTGCCCTGGCCCCTTTCAGCGCCAGATGAGTTCCCTGGAGCAGGGAGGCTGCCTGCAAGGGCAGCTTCACGGTGGCGGTGATGCCCGAGGCGAAGGCAGCAGCCACAACGAGGCAATCAGGTAAGAGGACTGCAGCTCCCAGGCGAATGTCGAGCAGCTCCGGTTGTCTCCGGCTTTTCTTCTTCTTCTTTTTAATGGTAGTCTGTGGCACCGCGGGTGGCTCCGATGACCACCTGCAGTTTATTGGCCTCAGCTGCCATCGTCCAGAGCTGCCGCAAGTTAAGCCGAACTTCCTCGGCTAGGAAGGCGTCCTTTCTAGGGGATATCTCCGGCAAGATATCCCCCGTGTGGATCGCTAAGGCGCGAGCTGCGGGGTCTTCCTGAATTTCTGGCTGTTGTAGCCAGTAAACGACCTCGTCAACGAGATCGCCGAGTTCAGCTATGGTGAGCTGAGGCGTCTTCTTCCCGAGATCCGTCATTCTGTTATGACCAGGCAGGACGCGGGGAATGATCCGGCAGATCGAGACGAAGATCAAAGGAACGGGTTTATTCGGGGTGGACAGGACAAGGTAATGAGGAGGGCGTGGCACACACGAGGATCGGACGAGCCGGGCATGACAGGTGCTATATTGATCCCTTTGGGGAAATTGTCCTTTCACATTTAGTGCATAAATTAAATGGTTTTAACTGACACATGTCTGTTAATGTTATATTTAAAATAATTTAATAAAGGTATTTGAGTTTGACTTAGAGCATTAAAAGATGACGGGTGTTTGTATGTATATATACATACACACATACATACATACACAGTACTGTGCAAAAGTCTTAGGTGGTCAAAGAAATGATGTTTAAATGATTTTAATTTTGGTGTGTAGCTGTATGCTATTATGGCTGTGAAAGGGTGTCAGTTTAGCCATTTCACAACGTCTGCTAAAATCATGCCAGTATTTGCAGCAACCATACAATACACCCATGTATTAGCAAACTTTGTATTGCTATTCAATATCTCACTGAGTTTTTTAACTAATTAAATTAATTAGATGAGCTGGTGGTGAAATTTAATAAACACATGGAATGGCTGGGGAGGCTCTGCAGAGAGGTTTGTGAACTGAAGCAGTGATCATCTAGCCATCCAACTAGATACCAGTAACTTTATGGAGAACAGAAGAAATTCTTAGTAGTTTTTATTGTGTGTGAGACTTTTGCACAGTGCTGTATAAACTGTATGTGTGATGTGTGTGTGTATACACACACACACACACACACACTATAATGAATGTATATGAATTGGTTAATTAAACTTACTTGTACAGTTAAAGCTGACAGGTTCACTCTGAACAGTGCAGCTCTTCGTTTTCAGAGTGCAGTGGACGCTTCCTGAAAGCACCTCCACAGAAATGTGTTTACTGCTGTTACTGAATACCTTCTCCTCACCCAGGACATCATCTCTGACAGTCCATGTGTACAGAGTATCATCCCCATTGTCATCAGCACAGTAAAACACAGATGTGCCATGAGCACAAGTGAGGAATTCAACCACAGGGTGACCTAAAAATAACAGATGAACAAAAAGGATAGATACTGTCCTAAAGATATTTTTAAGCTACAATTAGAAATCTCTAATATAATGAGCATATCAGTTTCAAACCAGGAATGAGAAGTTTTAAACATACCCAGCACCACCAAATGATGTGTCTCTGTCAGCAGATGTTTCCCATTCGAATCATAGCCATATGCAGTAATGTCACCACTCCAGTTCTTCTGGATGTTAGTAATTTTAAGTGTGAAATTTTGAAAAACTTCAGTTGAGGATTTGTACCTAATTGTACTAGTAGCGACAGTGTAGTTACCATATTTCCATTGTACAGCCTTTATACTGTTGTCTGGTATTTGCATATAAACAGTTTCTCCTGTGCTGCAGCATTGCAGATTTACACTGGTCACACCTTCAGGACAACAAACACATTTCATTAGCCAGCAAAATTAAAACAAGCTTCTATAACCTTTTTAAACATAGATAGTAAATACATCTAATTAGATAGTAAAAACTATCACCTTTACTTAATTTAGCATTTTTGTGCAACTATATGCATTGTACAAGTTCATGTTACATTGTCATACATGTCAGTTGTCTATTTCCGTCACATGTGTTTCACATGGACAAACTCAGTTTGTGAGAGTTTGTATCTTCATGGAATCACTTTAAAATTACTTATTTCAAACAATAACCTGAGTTCGAATTTGTGTAAATCAAGTCTGATATTTCTAACAACCAGCACTAACAAATTATGTTTCTCATAGAAGAGTTATCAGAAACATTACCTGAGAGGACAGACAAAATAACCCAGGAGAGTAAATGTGCTTGATTGTCCATATCGATACTCGTACTGAGCAGGAGTTCAACGAGAAATGTGGCACCTCAGATCAAAGCTGTCATGTGACCGGATGCTGAGTATAGCACTACATTTTTCCATTACTATACAATACTTTCTATGTGTGTCTTCGTTTTGTTACAAATACCTTTGCATTCAGTTAATGGGTTTAAAATGTACGCCTTGTGACATTTACATATCATCACAGTATATACTGAAATGGAGAATGAAAATGAAATATTTACACGAAGCACAACTTCATTTTTGTCATCACTGATTTTAATTTTCCCTCAGAATTTGGTTTGGTTGAATATGAACATTGTTACACTGATATGATTAAAGCTGGTAATGACAGTGGATGTTTTACATATAAATGATTGGACTCCTCTTTAGATTCTCTCTAATCTATCAAGGTACAGATTATAACAGGGGTAGCTAATCTTATCCACAAAGGGCCAGTGTGTTTGCAGGTTTCTGGGATAACCTTTTGGTCAGCTGTTCAAACGCAAGTCTGAGGACTCTTCAGCCAACCAGTCCTCTAATTAATCTAATTAGGGAATTGCAGTAAAATCTGCATACAATGTGGCCCTTAATGCATAAGATTGGCCACCCCTGCTTTATAAGCATATTCTGTGACATATTGAGATTAATTCAGGATACAGCTGAAGACTCATTCTGTCTCACATATGGGAATTTAGTCCTGAAAACAGCTTTCTGACACCACTCAACTGGTTTCTCTGGCAGTGTCCTGTAGACTGTAGCTGCAACAGGAACAGAATGAGATGCAGAAAGTGGCTGCAGTGAGACATGTATGTGTAAAAAGTCACTGTGGTGTCACAGCGTCCTGCTCTTTAATGTCCCATGAAGAATAAGAGCACAGAAAATGCAACTAAGTGACACAGAAGAGGAAACAGCAGAGAGCAGGGTTCACAGCTCTATTTATAAAGCCCCCCCTCCCCCCAAAAATAAAACTTGCAATTTAGGCTTCGGTCTTGGGGGCTCTATGTGCGTGTCTACAGAGAGTTAACTCTGTGAGCAACAGATTGCTTATATACACTCCAGTGAAATTATGGCGTCATTGTTAAAAAGGTATTGCTTACATTTTATCCAGTTGTATTTTTAGAAGTTAAATTGCTTTGTTTAATAAAGGCTGCAGTACTGTCTCTGAAGGTTTTAAACCCAGAGGAAGATGAAGTTGCATCAGGAAAGCAAATTAATCTAAAATGTATAATATAATTACATTTTATCATTTTACTCTAATATTTCCCAATGTACTCTGATGTTAAAATATCAACTGCAAAGTTTATACTGTCACTTACTTGTTTTTCAAAAGCTCTTGTTCCCCTCCTGCCCTTTGGCCTCATGCTTCTGTTAGTGATGTCACTAACCACAGATACATCCAGAGTCTAATTATAGGTCTCAGTGAACCAGTCACATAGCCTGATTTGTTAAAGTAACTTAAGAGATGTTGGTTTTAGACATAGTCACCATAGCAACACACATAGATAAACTGCCAACAAATGATAAGCATACAGTCAAACAGATAGTTCTTTTCCAAGAAAGAAAATTTCTTTTTTATTTTCGTTTGAATACAAATTCAGTTCCACAGGTTATTATATCGAAATGAAAGACCTTTGCCTGGGTAGATTCCAGTCATTAATTTCATAACTCAAACACCCAATGGAATTACTTGCTTTAATGTAAAACAATGTTCCTACTCAGAAACTGTATAATGTTCTGTTGTGAATCTTGGAATTTCAAACAGACAACAACGACAACTGTGAACTTATTTTATTTACTNCAACGAGAAATGTGGCACCTCAGATTAAAGCTGTCATGTGACCGGATGCTGAGTATAGCACTACATTTTTCCATTACTATACAATACTTTCTATGTGTGTCTTTGTTTTGTTACAAATACCTTTGCATTCAGTTAATGGGTTTAAAATGTACGCCTTGCTACAGATTTTATTAATTACTTTTTATCTGTGTGACATTTACATATCATCACAGTATATACTGAAATGGAGAATGAATATTAAATATTTACAGAAAGCACAACTTCATTTTTGTCGTCACTGATTTTAATGTTTTGTCAGAATTTGGTTTTGGATGACAGGAGATCAACAGATTCCTCCTGAGATTTTCTCTATTCTATCAAGGTACAGATTATAACAGGGGTAGCTAATCTTATCCGCAAAGGGCCAGTGTGTTTGCAGGTTTCTAGGATAACCTTTTGGTCAGCTGTTCAAACCCAGGTCTGAGGACTCTTCAGCCAATCAGTCCTCTAATTAATTAAGTCACTATGGTGTCACAGCGTCCTCCTATTTAATGACCCATGAAGAATAAGAGCACAGAAAATGCAAGTAAGTGACAGAGAAGAGGAAACAGCAGAGAGCAGGGTTCACAACCCTATTTATAAAGCCCCTCAAAATAATTCTTACATTTTAGGCTACGGTCTTGGGGGCTCTATGTGCGTGTCTACAGAGAGTTAACTCTGGGAGCAACAGATTGCTTATATACACTCCAGTGAAATTATGGCGTCATTGTTAAAAAGGTATTGCTTACATTTTATTCAGTTGTATTTTTATAAGTTAAATTGCTTTGTGTAATAAAGGCTGCAGTACTGTCTCTGAAGGTTTTAAACCCAGAGGAAGATGAAGTTGCATCAGGAAAGCAAATTAATCTAAAATGTATAATATAATTACATTTGATCATTTTACTCTAATATTTCCCAATGTACTCTGATGTTAAAATATCAACTGCATATTTATAATCTCACTTACTTGTTTTTCGAAAGCTCTTGTTCCCCTCCTGCTCTTTGGCCTCATGCTTCTGTTAGTGATGTCACTAACCACAGATACATTCAGAGACTAATTATAGGTCTCAGTGAACCAATCACATAGCCTGATTTCTTAAAGTAACTTAAGAGATGTGGGTTTTAGACATAGTCACCATAGCAACACACATAGATAAACATAGATTAGCGGGAGAACATTTCAAACTGGATTTAAGGAAGCACTTCTTTATACAGCGTGTAGTCAGAGTATGGAATAGTCTTCCTGATAACGTAGTGCAAGCTGAATCCTTGGGTTCCTTTAAATCAGAGCTAGATAAGATTTTAATAGTTCCTAGTATTTAATTAAGTTCTCCCCAAGCAAGCTTGATGGGCCGAATGGCCTCCTCTCGATTGTATAGTTCTTATGTTCTTAACTGCTATAGATTTTGCCTAGTCAA